CCCCCAGTTCGTCTGACAGGGCCAACCTCATTTTCTTAATCTCCTTATTTACCGAGGTCATCTGTGTCCGGAAAAGAATAGGACCATTCCTTACCTTACATGGCCATGCCATTTAACCCTCTTTATGTGTCGAAGCCAACGTTGCGGTATGCGGTTCAACTGTCGTTCGTACTCCTTCGTTAGAACAACTGTTCCCACACTATACAAGAATGTTGATCTGGCAGAAGCAAGACAGAAGGTTTTCATGGGAAGAGTAACTCCTTTCTCAGCCTAAATATGGGACAGGTTTTCAAAAGCACTCCAGCTAGTGCGATGGTCCTATTTAAATCTAATCGAATGGTGCTATTGCTGCAGATGATTGAGCCGAGATACTTTAACTGGTCGACTTCCTCTACGGTCTTCCCAGTTTGTTCCACTGGTAAACCAACTTTGCCAGATAGATTCCTCATAAATTTTGATATTTGGGTATTTAAGATGAGAAGGAGTTTCGCGGCTGTTTTGGACACGGAAGTCTTCAGGTGCTTGATCCCTCCTGAACCACTACTCACCAGGACAATATCATTTACGTACTTCATGTCAGCGGAATCTGGCCGAATATTTTGAACCCCGCCTTCCATCTAGAATGTAACCTTCATCTTTAGGGTCAGCTCTGTTTCAGAGAAGAGTCGCGAATTTTGTTGATTGGCAAGGGCGAAAGCACATACCCTGGTGAATTCCACAGTGGATAGGGAACAACTCAGATAGCACTCCTTCAACTTTCAAGGCAGACATGGTTCCTAACGCTAAACGCGTGTTCAGTACCCCATAACATTTCAAGATTCTTAACTTCATTGCATGATGTATTAAATCAAATGCAGTTTTAAAGTCAAGGAAACTGGCAAACCTAGGCAATTGAAATCGCCGACATTGCTCGATGATCCCAATAGGAGTGAAAATTCCATCCGTAAGCCTGCTTGATTTTGGCGAAGGTTCTATCAGCTGCTTGTTAATGATCCAAGAGAACAGTTTCCCGGAAATAGGCAGTATGTCACGTTAGTTGCAGCATTCAGTTGCCAGTTCCGCTTTAAATATTGAGACAAATATCCTACGCTTAAACTCT